GTGTCAAACAAACTCTTATCTCAAAGCTGAATATAAACAAGAAGAAGGATTTTTTTTTTTGTGAAAATAAATTCTAACTGTACTTAATCCATGCTGGAGTCGAGAAAAGATGCTTTGCTTACTACTTGGAAATCTCGTTGAACCATACTCTTATGGCACCTAGAGATCAATCCACAGAATAATTTGTTTCGCACTTCACCAAAGAGTTTTACCTCTTACTCAAGTTTCTCGATGGGATACGAAGTATGCAGAATGGAAGAGAAGGAAACGCGGAAGGCGAACAAAACTCGAGAAACCCTAATTTAGCACTTCATCTTCTCTTTCTATTTGTTTTTAAACTGATGCAAAAGGTCCTCTGGGCTTTGCAAAAAAGCGCTCTAAAGTAGGACAAGAATTGTGCCTATTCACGAGCGATTTTTAAACTTTGTCACCTTCTGCCATACTCCGGGGTGCAATAACATAGGTTGAATGCTAACAATGTTACAAGCCTAGGAGAAATACACTGTAATTACCGCCATACGCGAGAATAACATTTGCAACTAATGGCTTGTCGCCTATCCACCGCATCTCTGCGATATACTGATGCCGTAAGAAATGCACATAACCTCAGCAGGGACAACCCCCACCCACTCCCTGGACGTTTAGGAACATCTACAAATTCCCTAGCTACTTCAACCCTTACAGTGAGGTTCTCTCGCGCACTGCAAATGTGATGTTGGTGACTGGTTAGAAATTAATTGTACCCGTCTTTCTTCGCGAAAAGTTTGGACCTGAACTTAACTGTTTTAGAGAAGAGGAAGAGAGATACTACTTCGCTCATAAAACAATACATAAGCGTATGATTGGAGAAAATTTCTCGAAAAGGAAAATTTGGAGGCATGTCCAGGCAAAACTAAGATTTTGAGTTCTCATCAGGTAATTATAGCCGGGCCAAGTCAGTCCCCAAATCCGAGCTAATAATTCGCTGTTAAGCAAAAAATAGCTAACGTTTACGTCAGCCCCGCCCTTCAAATCATTCCCCTTAATGATTTCCCTCTCAGCACCGCCAGTGATTCGCTTCTCTCAAAAACACTGTTCTCTAGCAGAAAAGGCATGCTATTGTTGCGGGATTGGAAGTGGGAAATTTGAAATCGTGCCCCTGCCGCTGTCAGTCAATCCGAAAACGGCCTAGGATCCTTAGTTTTGACAGTTTCAAATTGCAGTCGTCGCGTTTAACACACCGAATTGGCCTAGAAAAGGTGGAAAAGTCGGAGTCAAAAATCTACTCTGACACTGCTTAGAACGTTGGTAGCTGACTGAAGCTAAAACATAACCGAAAAATGAAATATTAAAATTCTCTCTCTGTTCTGAAACAATTAGAAGACCATCTATTGCAAAGCATCTTTCTTTGCAGTCATAGCGCGTACATCGATTTGACACAAAACAACAAAAACGCTTGCAGGCCATAGTGCCGACGCTTCTGACTTTCGAACGCGGGAAATTCGAAAATCTTCTGACCTGTGGGTAGTATGTGTGCTGGTATATGTTGTGGTTCTGTGGATTTTTATTCTTTATTAACAACTGGCATACGGTCGCTCGTTGTGAGCTACAAAACCGAAGTACTCCGACAAGCAAGGGCAGTCTTTGTCTAAGTTGCCCGCCCTTGTAACACATATATTTGCAATGTTTTCATTATTGTGGGGAATACAAAGAAGTGTATAGACATATAGCGTACTGATCTAGGGATCAGGACAGTATGTGAGTTTTTTTAGATTTCTTTATATTTCTTTTCTTTAGGCGCAAGGTCTAGCTGACTAGAAGGTACCAGCTGATTACTCAAGCAAATGCGGGTGTTTGGTTGGCTATCTCATAGTGGAAAGCGGAAATACGAGCAGAAGAACCATTTGTTCTATTTATTTTATGTTATAGGCAATAGCATTTGCTTGAGTAATCAGCTGGTACCTTCTGCCTAAAAAAGGAAAGAATTATAAAGAATACTATAAAAAACAGCCATACTACCTTCCAAGGCTGCAGCAGCTGATTTTCGAATTTCCCGTGCTTAAAACTCAGAAGCGTCGGTGTTCTGTTACTTTGTGCATTGGCGCTTTGAAAAAAAGACATATATTGGTAGATGCACTTGAAACGCTGATTACAAATCTGCTCTCTCTGCATGATAAAATGGCGAGCGTTTTTCTGGAAGAAGTTCTGAAAGTATTTCCTCTGCCAAAAATAACTTGTACAGCTCGTCAGTGCTTGCTCTAAAGCATCAACTTTAGAGTGAAAAAGCAAAAGATTTTTATTTATGAAAACGATTATCAATATATAGCTTTCTCGTTGCTGTTTTGGATAAAGTGGAATTTGAAACTCTTTTTCCAGCAGGTCCCATGTTTATTCGATAGTGCGATTTGTATCACTTTCTGAATCGCCTTTTCGAGTTTTGCATAGTACTGATTAGTATGTCTGCTGTCTCGTACTGGGATGTCGCGATCTAGAAGATGCTTAGTTACAGGGCTTATGGAGAGACGCATATTGTACATAGGTGCAGCTCCAAGCACTAATTCTAAATTTGCTCTATCTTAGGATTTCAATCCAAGTCGTTAAAGGGACTCCTCTGAGGACTTGATTCACTAACTAGGATTACTAAACGGTTTTTCTTCATATTCAAAAAAGGATACAGGAAAATAGAAAAGAAGCACTCTTTGATATTGTGGTGACAAGTGCGAGTGACTAAAGTTCATCAACTTGCTAGGTTCATTGCAACTAACAGAACACACTGTGAGTGCTATTGAGAGTCAAATTCTCATTCGATAGCTCTTTCATAGGGCTTTCGAAATTAC